AGGTATGCAGATACATACGTTGACAGGCAGGTAGGAAAGCATATTAAAACGCTCAGACCGAGCGTTTTAATATGCTTTCAATGGATCCAATCAAAACGCTCGGACCGAGCGTTTTGATTGGACGAACATTTCTTGATCCTACACCTTCCACAGAATATATAAATACAGACAAATACATTTAGACCACTTAACTTAATGATTGCTATCGGGATGTGAAGAGACTTTCAACCAGCATAACAAAAAATGTTTCTGAAGACAATCACCTATTGCACCTTTAAGTTAAGGTACCGATACGGATCCTTTAGGTAGAAAGGTGTACCTTTTGAAAAGGCACTGCTTATGTACCTTTATTTCTAAGAGTGTAAATAAGCTATTCATATAAAGGCCTTAATGCCTTAATATGAATGCGTAGACTGCATTAGACTAAATGCGTAGACTGCATTTAAAATTTTACATGGATGAAAACAACGCTGTGATGGATAAGGGACTTAAGGTTTTATAATGGCATGCATTGTATGTGGTCCTAAATCAAATGTAATTTTCAAAACTCACAACTTTCAAAGCTGTTTAATGTCTGTTTAAGTTTTTGTCTACTAAAAGTCTTTTGGAAAGATGTTTCATCAGATGAATAGTCATTATGTTGTTAAACAACAGTACAATCCGTTGAACACACTGTACATCTCTTTCTTTTCAATCTCATTTTCATTCCTGTCAAAAATTAAATATGGAGCTTAACTTGATGTACTAAAATAACTAAAACTGAAATGAAAATTACTTAAATGTCGAAATATTTAAAAACAATAATGCTAATAATAATAAAACTGACAAAAAAACACAACAAAAATTACTAAAATTTTAACTAAAATTAAAATGAAAACAGAAAATTGAAAATAATTTTAAATATTGATAAAACCCATGTCATTTAATGATACTAAAATAGCATTGTCTGGATGATTTCACATTTTACACTCTAAAACTTATAATTCCGCTCACCTGTCTTTTTAGATACACCTGATAGCATCTGTCCATCACTCCTTCTATCAGTTCTGCGATAATGTCTGCCACTACCTCCTCACCCTCCTCCTGGGAGAGCATGCTGGTCCAGCTGGACTCGGTAAGGCGTCCCGGGACAATGTCCACCGTCTCAATGGGCTGGACTGCAGGAGCAGCATTAACTGGGACAGAATCGGTGCGGCTTTTATCGGCCCGTGATTTGGCAGCTGAGCGACGCATGGCCTTCACCTCTCGTGGAAAATAAAATAAATTTAGGCCTATAACTATGGGGCCAGAGGCAGAGGAACAGTACAACAACAACAAAAGCAGGCTAAGCTCGCTTTGGGAACAGGATGCATATGACTGCCTAGTAGGGCTGCACGATAAATCGAAATGGAATCGAGATCGCGATTCGACAGAAGCTGCGATTGTCATGCGTATCTTTCAGTGAAGCACTGTTCTGTGATCAGTAGTAAATCTCCATCCAAAGGCCAGAGGGCGCGGATTTATTTCAAACACTTGACTAATGTTATGAAGTGAGTTTGGAGTAAAAATATGTTATTAAATGTGGTATTTTCAAATGCTTTAATCTACTTTAATGTAAAAATTTACATTTTACATTTACACTTTACAAAACTTTTTTAGTACACTTAAGTACTCTTAAGTGGCCTTTTATTTCATTAATATATTAACTGCAAGCACAGTTTTTTTATTATTATATTTTCCATATTTGAAGTACACTAAAAGTGCACATTCACTACAATTAAGCAAACTTCTGTTTCTCAAACAATGAAATCTGATGTTATACAATTATTGAGAGAGAAAAAAATCTCGGCACATTAAAGAAGACATATGACATTAAAACACTCACATGTATGCCCGACTTCTGTTGTTGACTTCGGATTCTGGTTGCCAAGCAGGCAGGCGCTTCTGAGCACGAAGACACCGGAAACGACGAAATACTGCAGCCATTTTGCAGCAATATCAGGACAGCAGGACTGGGCCAGCGGTCTCCGGACAGAGCGTCAACTCAGAGCGAAATAACACAGAATTATGGCGGGGACGACGGTAAGTTGGTGCTTCTGTGATTTTTATTCAGTTTAACATTATCGGTAAACGCCAGCACCAACACATCCGGGTTTTCTGGAAAAGGTGGCCTGGAGAGTGCGGTGGGTGTTGATTTGTACGCGAGCACTGCAAAATGACGGAAATGAATTCTTGATTATATGTAAGTGGAATCGCTGCAGAAGCTCGGTTGCAGGTCCTGTACCTAAATGTATTTTTTAAAGCTTATTGACTCCGGATTGCCTTATGCTCTCTCTCTCTCTCTCTCTCTCTCTCTCTGTCTGTCTGTCTGTGTGTGAGTAAAGTTAGTTAAAGTAAACAAAGTGACCAAATGAATGAAACTGTAAAGTCTTTTCCTTAGTCGTTGCATGGTTACGGGGGTAAATATTCACCGCTAGTGGATATCTTTAAAACACATATTAAGTTATTTTTAATGAAGTTTGAGTGATTTTGTCATTTAATTATATTAATTAAATTAATAAGCGTGTTCCTTCAAAACTTAAAGGAATACTAAAGTAAACAAAAAGTAATACATATGATTTTTGTGATTTAATCCAAGTCTTCTGAAGAGACACTTTGTATAACAAACTATTTAATTTAGGTTTTTATTCACATAATAAGCATCAATGCACATATATTCTCCAGTGTGACACAATCACATTTTAGCTTACATTTACCATATTTGATGTGTTCTATGTATGTTCATTGTTTAATGTTTAAATCTGAATAAAAGCCTAAATTAAATCTGTTCATCAGTGATTGTGATGTGATTTTTTAGTGAACTATGCCTTCATTGGGTGCTCCATTCAGAGCCTGATTAGAAAACATGTCATCTTAACTCAGTTTTTTTTTTCTTTTTTTCTTCTTTGCAGACACATATTACCATTCAGAAAGGTCAAAAATTCCCTCAGTTGGAGAGATGCACAAAATGCTGCCACAAATTCCATTGTCCCTTTTGTATGGCCAGTATATTTAAGCCCTGCAGACCGGACAAAGTCAAACTACACTTGAAAAGCCACCGTAACAAAGCAGTTGTCCATGGAGGTGTAAACGTTTTCTTTTTTATATGTACACACACACACATATTATTATGTTTATTATGTGTAGCATACATATATTTGACTAATATACAGATTTTTTTTTTTTTAGATTTCACTATTCACAGATGTGGACTGGGCTGTAGAGCATCACTCCATTACCACTGTATGTACTGTCCAACAACAATTCTCAGAAGAGGCGATTTTAAAAACCATTTACAAGTCTGTAAACATAATCCAAACTCAGAATCAGTCACAAAAATGCTGTCAAGCACCAGTACGCCAGTGACTGCTCTGACAGTTATAAACACACCATCAATCATCGATACAGCACAGACCGATCCTTCAGTCAACTACACACCGTCAACCACCAGTACAGGTATGACTGCTCTGACAATCACCGACTCGCCTTCAACCACCGCGACAGGAAAGTTTCGCACGCGGCCTGTTATTAAAAAAAGATGCCCATCGTGCAATGTGCTCATCAATAAAAACAACCTACTAAAACATATGGAGCGCAGACACACAGATCATTCAGAATTAGACATCGGTGAGACATTTCAGCTTACAAGCCAATGTGTAGATGAGACAAATGGGATATTTGCAGTTCTCAAAGTCGTAAAAGGCCACGGCGTTCCGCTTCACGTACAATGCCAGACATTGGGCGAAAACAACAGAGTCCTCTGCGAATCGAACGAGTGCCAGATTAACACAGATGTCGCGCAGAGGAGCGGCATCACATCGTACCAGTGCATGCATATTAGTGCAGCGAGCTTTTGCAAGTCTGTGGTTGAACAAGTCTCCCTGGAGGAAGTCGTTTTAACGGAGATGGTGAGAGGAAAATGGTTCAGCGTGAAAAAGAAAAAAGAATGCCTCGCTCTGCAGCAGCTTGCCAATAGTAGCTGCGTACCGCTTTCTGTTCACACCTCGATTGGGATCTCGTCAGCAAAAAAGTTCATTTCTGTTTTTGAGCCCAATGTGACGTCTTATAGTCGTTTGGGTCGTGTCATGGTTGTTTATAACACAGAACTGGACTCTTGGCACTGTCCTTGCACCAAACTACGACGTTCATGTCTGCACAAATATGTCGCCAAATGGCATTTGTTTCAAACGCAGCGTGAGCTTTTCAGGACTGACGGATCGCCATATAAGCCGCATTCAGAAGAGGAGGACATCGCTGACAACAGTCATGTGTATCCCCCGAAAGGTCTGGGACTGGAATATATTGTGAATTACATTCTTCAGAACAAGAAGATACCTGCCGTTCTTCCAGAAGATATGCGGGTACCATCGCCACTCAAGGATTACCCACAAAACCTTTGTCCAAATGAAACCGTGTGTCAGGAATGTCCAGAGGATGTGCTCCTCAGCGATCCTATGCTAGTTACACAGAACGCCAAAATCCTGACCAATTGGTGCATCATTAAAGGTAGATTATATTGTCCGTATGCTTGTGTGCTATTCAGCTACAATGTTTTGTAATGTATGCTTGTTTTAATTGTTAGATGTCGCCACCTACTGTAAGCAGTGCCCGCAGTGTGGGATGTTTTATCGTTACCAAGAGTGGAAAGATCGCCTCCATAACTTCAATGATCACATCATCCTTGACATATCTTTATGTTTAACCTTGAGAAACCTTCTGCAGGTAATCTTCAGTCTGATTATATACTGATCATTAGGGATGTAACGATTAACCGCGAGCCGGTTGAAAATCGA